AAGCTTATTAAACAAATCTACTAAAGGCGGCGATTTTAACACAATAAAGGGACGTAATCGGTGATAAAGGGAGATAATCATTGTGTATGTTCAGCAATTGTTGCGCGTTATCTTGTTTTGAGTGATAGAGAAAGTGACAAGATTGTGTTAATGAAATGATAAATAGCGTTCTTTTATAAACTCTCGAGGCGTTTGTTTGTTTTTCATTTCATTTAAAAATAAAAATAATAACTTATAATTATTGCAAAATAAGAAAAAAACGAACTGAAGAGTTACGCCGCTTTCAAGAGGCTCTTAACAACTGTTTAAGAATTTCTATAAGTTATTGCGGTCTAGCGTAAAATCGGTTTCAGCATTTCAGACGTTTCCTATAGAGGGCTATCATTGTTAAATTAAAAGAACCTTGTGATATCATTGGCAGAGAAAAACGCCCGGTCATCGTCATTAATTCATAATTCTTAGTTATTTTCTTCATACTACTCTAATAGATATTTTACATTAAATATACCAGGAATTAATAATGACGACAGAAGGCCAGTCTTAATTTATATGAGGAAAAACAAGAATACATTGTCCAACATTTTTGTGTAGTCTGTACAAATTTTATTTATTTATTTATTTATTTATTTATTTATTTATTTATTTATTTATTTATTTATTTATTTATTTATTTATTTATAGATTGTGTCATTCATTGCACAAAAAATATATATAATTAATAAAAGGCAAACGACCTGATACAGAAAGTTAACATCATGTGAAGCAAAACAATGAACAATAATAATCAAAAATAAATTTAAAAAAAATGAACCAAAACTCATAGTCTATTTTCATAGAAGATATTTTAGATTGTCTGATTTTCATTTTTATGGCACCAATACATATTATGACTAAAAAAGATGATGTCTCCAACAAGATATATTTATATTTTTATCTTAATTATTCAGTCATATTTTTATTATATCAATAAATTATATAATGGTTGTAAAATGTTTTTCATAATCAGCATCATTTTCAAACGCTGTGATAGCTTTATCTTTAATTAGTAAAATTTAATAAAATCAATGTTATCAAAATTATATTTTGAAAATATTTTTGAAAATTCCACAATCTAATTTATTAAACAATAATTTTGGAGTACATTATTCTAGTTATGATAAAAAAGTCAACCATATATTTACAAAAGAGTCTTACTTGAAATCCAAATCCTATGCAGCAATAACCAGCGGATAATTTTCAGTACATATAAGATTATTATAATGAATATGACGTTTATTAACATTTGAAATAAAACAAGGGAGACATAGACGCGAGTTGATAATTATATATACGTTAGGTACCTATTATAGTCTGTGACCGCATGCTGGCCGAATCTAAGACATGTTGCGTGCAATACACAAGTACGTGCCGCGTGCCATGACTGGCACGAGCGACAAGCTATTCATTCATTACATTGTCTAAAATTAGATTCACCATGTCTAGACTTTATTACGTAAAAGAAAACCAAGCATTTCTATAATGGACGTTAGCCACTTTTGGTTAATGTTAAACGGCGATCTCTTTTATTATTTTCATTAAAAAATATGATTTTTTATATTTTTCGGCAAATTCATAGAAAGTTAAATCTAACATTTAACATCAGAATTTAATCTGCAACTTTGTCATTCTTCTAAATTTATGACTATTCGCTATTAAATAATTAATCTCGCCGACATATATATACAAAAAATTAAGTCGTGTCATCATTAATTTTTGTTAAGGCAAATATTCTCAAATATTGTCGCGTTTGTTGAATTTAAATTCACCATTCACATCATGCAATTCATATTCTAATCCTAATTAATTTCAAATCCTAACCAAATCATTGCGGCCCGGTGTTAACATAATTTCTCTGCGGTCGTATTATCTACTTTTTGTCAACATTACCAATAGTGCCCGTGTCAGCTTCAGATTATGTTTATCATATGAAAAGAAAAAATGTTACGGAAAATTCGCACACCTGTGAGGTACTTATGTATTTAATGCATCATCGGTCCGAGGCTCATCTTTCAGAAACTACCGTATTGTAGACGAAATAAAAATCTGCCGAAATTAGGTCCTGTTTTTTTTTATATTATACATCAACTTTATATTTTGTCAATGCTATAACTTAAAGCCTGATAAAAAACTGTAGAATGCTATGAGAAAATATTTTGGCGCGTTGATCAGGCTTATAATTATACAGTAAACATAGCTAAAAGAAACTGCCTTTAGATTTGATATTTACTTGTAACACTAAGTCTCGTTCATTGAAAAAAAATATAAATAAAAAGTTATGAAATAATATTCGACTGTCACAAAAATAAAATTATATATGAAAATAGTAGAAAATTTATTCTCAATATAAGTATCTTAATTTCGCAGACGGTCAGAAAAAGGCGGCAAAGCTTGTTTCACATGCGACATATGTTTTCTAAAAAAAAAAAAGAGAATTATTATTCAACGAAAATTAATCAGAGTTAGTGTTGCATTTTAATCCTACATGTCATCATATTCTTTAAAGGTCCTGTCGTCTTTAGAGACCATTGTGTCACGTGACAGAAAATTAATTTTCGGTCAAGATGTAATAAATCACTTTAATGATATCAAATAAAATTTCGTTTAAGAGCTTAGAACGGACTAATACAATGTTCACGAAAAATCTAAGATGTTTTTTTTTAAAGAGCAGTATGGTAAAAATTCTAAACGCTAAGGTTTAACACACAAAAATGAAACATGTAATAATTTTTATGAAACATATGGTATTACATTGAAAAAAGATATTATGAATGTGCTTTACTTGTAGAAAACCCCAAATTTCCATAAAACAATTATTTTCGAAAGACAGTATGACTGCAAACTTTAAAAAAATGTTGTTATTGTTTAGAATTCTAATGATATTATTATCATACCTTAAGCTGTTTCTTCTGTTCTATTTTATTATTATTATTATTATTATTATTATTATTATTATTATTATTATTATTATTATTATTATTATTATGCAAAGACATTAATTTAAATTTGTATTTTTAAATTCATAGACATGCAAAAAAGAAAGAAAGAAAAACAAAAGACAAACAATTATAATAGCCAAGTAAAATATTGCAAAAAGTTGTTACGAGGAAACTTATTTCATATGTAAATTTGAATATTATTCTAAAGACTGTATATACATGTACTTTTACTATTTAGGCAAGTGTGATCACTTTCGGTATATTTTGAAATGTTTATACATGGGTATTTGAATATTTATATACATATAAATTTCTTATTACGGCTTGAGTATTAATAAACTGCTATTTGGTCTGTTTCGATTTGTGTGTGTGTGTGTTTTTTTAAAAGATGGTCTACTTTTTGAAGTTTTTTAAGTTGTAAAATTGAAGCATTTATTTGTAGTTAGAATGAAAAACTTAATAAAGTGATTTACAAAAAGATTATATTTTAAAAGATCTGTTAAGTTTAAGGTTACTGTATTCTGAACAAATACAATCTTCCTTTACAAAAAGGGATATCCAAACATTATATAAAAGGGTGAAATTGAATCCTAATTGAACTGAGTGAATGTCCGATTTAGAATGACATTTGCCGGTGACATCAAAGGATAGGGTTTGGTAGATTAAATAGTATATCAACCCTAACTAAACTAAATAGCTAAAATGGACTATCCCATCTTTCAATCTCGACTAAACCATTCATCATTTTTAGGGAAATTTTCAAAATAAGTACACTGACTGAACAGTGCAGGTTGTGACCAAACGGCACGGATGTGCTGGCTGATCTTGGTGTGCACTGGTCGCTAGGTTAAATAAGTTGCCGCTAGAAGGCGAGGGGCTAAAAAGCCACTTGTTGTTCTTTGTTTATTAAGAACACATAATATGTTTTGCAAATTTTGTAAAAGTTTAAATGTCAAACTCTAATTTATCTATATAAAGTATTGTTTGGACAGCCTTTTTGTTTATGTTCTTTTTAACAGAACAGAACATTTCTTTTGAACAAAATAATTGATCATGTATATAATTAAAAATAATGTAACTTCACCAGAATTTGTATATTAAAAGTTAATAATGATCACACACCGAAGTTTTAAAAAACAAAACAAAAAACAAAACAACATCCATCTCATACAAGAAACTGAAGTTATATTTCTTCATTCTTATGTTACCCTCCATCATCATCATCATCATCATCATCATCATCATCATCATCATCATCATCATCATCATCATCATCATCATCAATTATTATAATTATAGTTGGGGTTTTGTGCTTTTTTAATCATTATTATCATCTAACTTTTCTTCATTATTGCTCTTATCATCATTATTGCAATCAAAAATCATGTTGTTGTTGTTGTTTTCATTATCATTATCATTATTATTGTTGTTGTTGTTATTATTATTATTATTATTATTATTATTATTATTATTATTTATACTTCATCTTATTAGAAATATGAAATGAAATTACATATACTTTTACTTACAGGAGTTTGTATTAAAGTATTTCGATATATAAGGAAAATGTTGACCTAAGGGTCAATTCTTTCGACATAGAATTTATTGTCAAACTAATATTCACTTAATTTTATAAATGTTTGTACGCGTTATGTCCCTACCTGAAACTCCTTCAAAGAAAATATAACATATAACATAATAAATTAAATAGAAACTAGCAGATTAGGTTTACGTAAAGAGTTAATGGAAATCATTTAAATTTATTAGGTTATAATCCTCGGTAATCAATGTTTACATTTCGGTTTTAATAAATTTTGTTCATTTTGTAATTACCAATTTAAAAATGAAAGTCTGATTTATCGTCAAACAACCTGTTTACCCAGGTGTGATAAGAAAAACTTAAGATTTGTTTTTTTCCCTCAAAATAAATAAAACAGTTAATGAAGTTCTACGACAAAGTTGTAACTGACAAATAATTATTCTGCGCATGCCTTTCCCTTATTTAACAATAAAAACACCACTTACCTTACATAACAAGGTCCAATAAATCAAATTTAAGAAACACCAAAACAACACGTATCAACAGTAATAACTGGGTGTCAATTCATTTTCTACAATTCTGATCTCACGTTAAGTCGCTTAGTTCCAATCGACGGCACGTTTTGTCTTGGGTCTGTGAATCAAGTTGAAATTCCCTAACCGTCAAACAGGCACGTTCTGTAAAGGAGAACTTGTTTAGAAAAGACTCCGTAACCGTTTCGCTCCTGAAGTTCTAGTTGATAACGTCAGCCCAATGGAGGATCACAGCTAACTGATTCGGCACGTTCGCGTTGCAGAAACACGCCAAAGTAAACTTGTTTCTTTTATAAAAGTCACACTTTCACTCTTATAAACGGAGTGCGTCACTTTTACAAATTCAGTCTTTCAGTTCACTTCGATTCTTGCACTATTCTATTTCCTTCCAAGAAAGATTGCTGGATATTTTTTACTCGATTTGGAATACTTATGTTTATTGTTATAAAAGTTCTTCATTTCAAATTATTTGATGAAAACATAGACATATCCTGTAGACAGTAGAAGAAGAAACACTTTCTCACTGATTCTTATGCGAGCTAAATTAATTCATTTTTTCTTCAAATATATTCTAAGTGTGAAAACTTCAATAATGAATTGGATTTTAGGATTTTATTACGATCCCCCGTTATATGAATTACTTATCAAACCGTGTGTAATTTGAACACTTGAAACGCACACCTGTGTGCTACATTCGAGTTTTAATTTCATGTCCCAGTGAATTTCCAATTTCAACTGACGCTTGTCAAAAGGATACTCGGATAATCTCAATTAAATAAATTATCTGACTTTTTCATAAAGTGTTTTGTTTTAAATATATAATGGACGGGTAGTGAGCGGATGTACCGGATAAGACAGGGACGGAGAACAGTTTTCTTCTTCAGCTCACGTGGGCGTTCTTACTCAGCGGGAATCTATTTATAAACATACGATTGGCTGCTAATGTAAACAAAGAGCTGTCATTGGCTTATTTATAAACCGCTCGTTTAAGACGGCGTGACCGCCCAGTAAACGCCTTCCATTGATGAATTTTTAATAACTTCACGGGAGATTTGTTTGAAAATTAACCAAGATGCAGAGTTTTGTTATTCTTTGACTGAAATTAACCGTATTAAAAGCGCTGCGTCCAATATTTTTGATTTTATAAGAGTTTTATTTGAATTGCAATCATTGAATTTCAGACAATGCGTATACCATTTTGAACTACCGCAGTGTCGTTTTAATAGACACATTTTTTTCCATTTTAGCTATTTGTCTTAAGTAAATACTTGTCATTTTTTTCTCAGGTTTTCTATTACTCTCCTAGCGACACAGCATTCGAATTATACAATATAACAAATACCATGGAATTGTGTTCGTAGTGCTGATAATTTTAATAATTTTTCATAGACCGACTATTTGTTTTCGGGTTGAATATTTGCATTTTTCACGTTGTTACTGTCGTTACTGTTAGATTTTGAATGGCAAATTAAAGTAAGTCACAAAAGTTATTGATAATTTAACGAAACTTCGACTTTTCCATGCCTAATCAGTAAGTTAGCTAATTAATTGCCAGTAGAAGGAACTCGTAACAAAATGATGCGCTTTTGGGACAAAAATTTCAATCGGAAATCAATGTGGATTATCAGTCAAATAGCTCATTGGTTTCTGATAAATATGAAATTGATTCGAACTTGACATTCTGTTGCCTGTCAGGAGCCTGTACTTACATAATGATATGTTTTGCGCCATTTAATACACTTGATTAATTTGTCATATGACTTTCAACTATGTAAACCGTAATCAAATTAAATCTCTTTTTTTCTTCATTTTTTTTTTTTGCTATTTCCTTTTCCCCGAGCTACCTTTCTTCATAAATAGGTGTAATATTCAGACAGTACTTTATACTGAGTAAACATGGAAAAAAAACCTACAAGAATATATTTCACAATGTTTTTCGTGCGTATTGAAATTATCTTTACCAATATTTATTATTAAGAAAAATTCGTTTTTTAGATCGACGGCTTATTTTTTAGAAACTGATAAATTATTTACCTTATTTGCCTCATTAACAATTAATTCTAAAGTTGACAAAATTTGATTTGATATCGTCATCTACTCTGAATTCTTAATTGTCTGGTTGTTAATCATAATTTTATCATGCTTTTGTTGAGAGAAAAAAAAACATCTCATAAGCAAAAGAAAAAAATTAGAATATAAAATCATAAAAATATGTGTTTTTAAGTCAACATTGAGCATTTAAATTGACTCCACTGAAGTTTTGTTTTTTACATGAAGGTCTGTACCAATAACGTGTATGCAAATTATTATATCATTCCTTCACACCGTTTTTTTTTCTTCAGAATAATTCTTTTTATTGTGCAAAATGACCAAAAGCTGTAAATCGTTACAAAGCCTTTTTAAGAATCGCACAAAAATCGACTTAGTATATTTCTCTGTTATCCTTTGCAGAGTTTTTCATTTTAAGTGCTTATAAAATTGATATTTGTACGATTTTCAAAATTTTATGTTTTTATGCCTTTGAACCTCACTTGATTTCCTTTCTACCACTTTATTTAACAAATACATCAGTACATAATCTACTTTTATTGCAACAATTATTACACTGTTTATAAAATATGATACTTTTTTACGTTAAAATATTTTTCTACATTATTTTCTTATTATCTTTATACATTTATCTTTATAATTGCATAGAATCAACAATTCAAACCAAATCATATCAAAAACCAGTATGTTGTACTCCAAATTACACCTTTTACAGAAAAGAACATAGTTTATTTCGTACAAAAATGTCATCTTACAAAACATAATTATATTACATATATTATACATATTTCTAAGGAACAGATTACTTGTGTCACTGTAATTTAACTTCAAAATACGAAAGAGACAATCACAACCTTCAACTTACTACAAAATATTTCTGGTTGTCTTTTGATAGTTTAGAATTTCAACAAAATATGGAACATTTTGCTTCTTGGTCTATAGGCTTTATATTTCGACTGCCATAAAGTATCTCAGCTGCCGTTCAACCTTTCCAGTGAACCCTACTTATTTTAGTACTATTCTTAACAATTTTTACGATTTCCTAAATAAACGGTCGCCGGAGGAGCTATTGTGCGACTCCTCATTTTTTCTGCCGCTCTATCGGGATGGCATTGTAAAAGAGTGATGAGGGGTAAAATCGACACACATTTTGATATAGTTTATCATGAATCATTGAGGATTTAAAATCGTATAATCGAGCTAATGCCTCAATTTGCGACAAATCACGTACTCTCATTGTTCGGAGCAACATCAAATATGTTGTCGCAGAATGGGACAGGGCCGATTAGTATTGAACTCGAGATGAAGAGTTGACTGATTGATGGATTCAATACATTTCAGAGAAAAGAAACATTTATAAATAAAAATATCAAGCCAGGAAAAAAAAGCTAACGTGTTAGGACTTCTTTAATTTACATTGAATGTTTTTTTATGAAAACCTTTTTTGAAATGTTAAATATTTTGACAGGTTTTAAACTTTGAGACAATCAAAAAAAAAGAATTTCAAAAAAAAAAACACTGTACTATAAAGAAAAAAATCTTAACATTGACTTTTAAAGAAAATCGCATCTTCCTTCTGCGTTTGACAAAAAATGGACCTAAAATATACATTCGTTTATTTTTTCACACAGATCTAGTCATTTACTGTTGGAGACGTTTTTAATTAAACTTCCTTTTTTATTTTGACTGTATTTTATCATGTATAAATATTATACCACCGTGAAAACTGCAATTAGGGGTCACAAACCCCACTCGTATAACATGGATAACCAGGGTAGTTTAAACAGACGGGTAAATTGCAGTTTAGAGCTAACAAACTCTATTCACAGCGCTTTGTTATCTTGGTAATTTTCACTCACACCTGATTTTGTACCCCGACACCTGTGCGGAAGATAACCCGCCGACGGGAGGTCGCCTTGTGTAAATGAATCACAAAATAAAGAAAAGGGAGTAAAAAGGAAAATGTTACGGTTTAAGCTGAGCAAATGTGCCTATGGTACGAAATAATTAATCAAATACACCATATAAACATAATTTTGTACTTGTGCTGCTATTGCTTTTTTATAATAGCATATATGTTTGATTGGTACATTAATATATGCCATTCATTATATCCTATCTCTACCATTCTTTTTCCTATATATGAGAGCTAAAGATGTGAGCTAATATATATAGAATGTCGTATACGAACGCAATATCTCGTATCCTAAATAAATGTGTAGGTGTCCTTTGCCTAAAAGTTAAATTACAATACAAGTGACCGAATAAACTTCTTAAATATTTTTACTTTCTGTCTTCTTGGAGTTTGACAGGAAAGGAAATAAATGAAAAGGGTCACTTAAATTCGAGAAAAAGGTGGAGAACTAAATATAAATGTTTTATATCAAATAAATCTCAAGTTTAAACATTTATTTCTAATATAGTCCGAATCATTTAATAACATTCACTTTATTATGGCAGGATTACCCAAACAAGACGGGAATAATTTCCCCTCAAAAGCAAGCATTCCCACGGGAGAGTAAAATAATCGTTTCACTGACAGTTACCACAAAATTCCACCAACAAAAGAGCAAGGATTAGCGCCTGATTTTGTTTACTACTCATTCAGCGTTAATAAAATCTTTATCAAAATTTAAAATGTTATCGTTAGTTAGGAGAATTTCACAGGGCCATAGAAGGTGATTAGATAGGCGTGAAAAGTTAATCTGTAACCAGATATACTGGGCTGTATATGGGCAATTTGTCAATGAAAAGATACCTGGGTACACGCACCTGGGAGGAGTACTGAGTAATGAAATGTAATCAAAGTTAAAAGAAACTGATTGAAATAATTACTAACTTTTTGTCCAACTTCTTATTTGACTCAGCTGCAATTTTAATCACAACAAGCTTCCTGACCTCAGACATACTTGGACTCATGGAAATCATAAATAATACGCTTCTCATATACATATATTGGTTTAAACATATTTATTTATTTAAGCTCGATTGCGAAACAAGTTCTTGCGACTTATATTAATAACTTTCGCGTCCGCATCCTGGAACCAACCATGAGTACTTGTGTCATATGAAGAAACATGGTCGTGACCCGAGTAGGGCTCGACCCATGATCTCTGAGAGTCAGACACCTTAACCACTAGACCACCGCTCCCCTAAATGTTAATTCACATATATATGGTAACTGTGGGGAAGTTGGCATAAACATGCGGGGAAAAAAATCAAATTTGTCAGAAATGCAACTGCTGTAGACTTTTTTCACTAACCAAAAGACGGGTGTAATAAGTACTAGTAAATGTATGTTAACTGTGACAAATGTTTTGAGAAAACTCCTGTCGCAAAACTAGCCAGTTACCTGTTTTCGTTATCGGAACACTAGTTTTCAGTAACACGAATTCGTCAATGATTTGAAAATGTAAAGACTTTCTTAATATATTCTTTAAACAAAAAAAGAAAGAAAACAAAAACAAAAACAGGATTAGAATGAAAGACAACGTGTCTTATGAAATTCTTCTCCTTTATTATTGGTTATTAATTGGTTTCCTTTCGTCTATCAAACTGTTTCAGACTGTCTCCAGACCATATATAAAATGTAGTTTGTAACACTATATCCCCAATAAATTTCAAAGTGCAACATTTATTAAAAATAATTTAGGTAAAGCAATTCTGCTGAAATGATAAACATAGTAGCTACAACAGAAAGACAACCTAGTTCAATTTACATATTTTCCGTTGTTGTCTGGACATCACCGCAATTAATTATTTCCTTCTTTCTGTAGTTATGGTTGGCCTTTCTGTGAGCAAATATATACAGAATATTAACGAAAAAAAAGGTAGCGAAACGAAACAATTAAAAATCTAAATAAGTTCCTTGAATTTTCATTATTATAATTGATACACATTCGGATTCCTTTGTTCGTATCAATGTTCTATTTAGCTGGCCACTGTTTTTGAAAATATGTATATATCTTAAATTAATTACAATGATTTATTCCTCTACACATCCGTCACTAATCAATCTGAATTTAATTATTTTATATGACCAATTTATGCAAAGGTAGGGACGCAAAAATTTCCCTTACTGGAGACAGTATTAATTACTTATTCATTTATTCAAAACAAAACCTATCCGAATTTATGCAAATATCCGAAACTGTGCCAAATGTCACGATATTGCGTCACAATACTGAATGACATTATAAAGATGATGTGAGAATAGGATGAAACCGAAAATTCATGAAAATTCCAAATTCCGGAGTGACAGTGTTTCCTAATATTGAAATTGTAAAAAACACAAAACAAAAGACCGCTTCAATCCCGGGTACATTACCAAAAGTCTACAAACTAGCTCTATACTCATGCCATCTAATAAAACTAACGATTTATTTCCCAATTAGAAAAAAGTGAAATAAACGAACTGAAATGTGTAAAACAAGATATTTATATAATAAATACATGTACTAGTATTTTAGAGCAATATATCAGATCTCCGTCGTAAAACATTTAAGACATAACACAATAGATACATTTTACACCATTTATCTAGCAAATAATAGTCTTTAAGGAGTATAGATTCCATTTTGGAACTGTCCATTATCAGTTTTTAAAATACTCTAAATGTATTGCTGTATGTCATTTCAAGCTGCGTCTGTGGTGACAGATTAAGCTCTAATATAACAGTTCAAATGAATTCTTCGAAAGTGTCAATGTTAGACTCGTCACA